TTTATTCTGGATGAAGTTCCACTTCCTTTGAAAGATCAGAGTCTCAGCTCACAGGTGCTCTTTGACTCAACATTGTTCTTGGAAGGCAATGTGGCTTCTGTAGCCAAGAGTGGATTTAGCCTCAGTGGTTCATGACTTAGGGCCTTTACAGACTGCCAGAAATAATGCAGTTTGAGGCCACTTTAACTGTTCTGGCTCAGTGCTAAGGAATCATGGGAACTGTAGTTTATTGTGGCACCAGAGCTCTCTGACAGAGAAGGCTCAATGTCCCAGAAAAAGATACAATTCCCATGATTCCCTAGCACTGAGCCAGGACAGTTAAAGTGGCCTCAAACTGCATTATTTCTGACAGTCTGTAAAGGCCCTAAGTTATCTCTTGACTAGACTACTGTTATGCACTCTCTGTGGGTACCCTGGAAAAGTCTTCAGAAACTAGAGCGGACTATTGTCTGGTGTGCATTTTAGAGACCACATTTCACTACTTTTGTACCAACTGCATTGGCTTCCATTTCACCTCTGGGCTCATTTTAAAGTGCTGTTTTTTACTTACTAAGCCCTAAACAGCTTGAATGTCCCAGGACAGGATTTCTGAAAGATCTTCTTTTATTAGCTTACCTGGAATATAAGATCTTCAATAGTGGACCTGTTGCATATCACACTATCCAAAAAGTTAGGTTGGTGAGTACACATGACAAGTCTTTCTCTGTAGTGGTACCTAAATTGTTGGCCTCCTTCTCAAGACAAGTCAGGCTGGCTCCATCCCTATTGAGCTTTTGTTAGGTGGTCATGGATGTACTTACTACCTCACATGGTCTTTCATCCTCAAAATCTGTTTTAGATTGAAGAATAATGGATTCTAAAAGATAGTTTTAAAAAGTGTTTTAATCTTTTAAAGAATATTTTTATCTGTTGTACATCAGCTTGGGAGCCCCAGTGGACTGAAAGGCAATACATATGTTTAGGAAGGAAGGAAGGAAGGAAGGAAGGAAGGAAGGAAGGAAGGAAGGAAGGAAGGAAGGAAATTTTATGTTCTATTTAGTGGGGATTACCAGGAAAAGTATTATTTTGCATTGGGACCCCAGTTTGTTGCTATCATAGTCTCACATGTCAGCTCACATGTCATTATACCTCACATGTTATCTCTCTAACAAGAGGATGTTTGAAAGAAACAGTTTCATCTGGAGTTCACACGCTTGTTTACTACTATTCATTAAAACCTCTCTAATAGGATGGTATTTTTATTTATTTTTTTGCATTAAATGCCAACAAAGGTTATTCCCTCACAATGCCATTAGGATAAAACACAGCAGCCCCAGTCTGCATAGGATTGGTAAAGGAAGATGAGTGATTTCAGTAAAGCTCCTTCCCTCCCTCTGTAAAAACATCATCTTTGAAGAACTCAGTCCCTAGAGAAGCCAGGATGGCTCCATCCTGGCTCACCTTTTGGCAGCAGGTAAAAACATTTTTGTGCCACCAGCCTTTTTCAAACTGATGAGGATTGTGCTTTTAAATGTTCTGTGATTCAAATTTTTTTTTTAATTAAATATTTAATGTTTTTAACTTTATAAATTGTTTAACCCTATTTACATTTTGTATTTATGCTTTTAAAACTGCTTTTGTATTGTTTTGGATTTGGATTGTTTTAAATTTGTTGTTGGACACACTGAGTCTTTACATCAAGAGAAAGGTGGGATATAAATAAATAAAATAATTTTAAAATATTTTTTTTTTAGTTACATGAACCAAATTCACAAAGCGTGCATTGTTTTTTTCATGTGATGAATCTGTAAAACATTTATATGGAAAATAACTCAGATCCACTCCAGCTTGGACTCCACACTAAGGGTAGATCTGGAGAGGTAATGAAGCATGCACTTGCCTGGAGAAATACCCATTCTGGCTTGTCAGAGCTGACAGGGAAGGTCAATTGGATGGTGTGGGTTGTGGATGTTTCTTTGAAAGGAGGTTGTGTTCCATTTCCTCTAAAAGAAACAGTAATGTGATCTCTGTTGAAGAAAACAGAAGAAATCCAGAACTAAAGGAGTGCTGCAGACAATTGGTACTCTAGTCTACACTTAAAGACTTCTTACTGTTGTGTGCCTTTAAGCTGTTTCCAACTTATGGCGACTTTAAACAAACTTATCACATTATTTTCTAGTCAAAAGGGAGTGTGATGTGCCCAAGTCACCCATGGTTTTCCATGGCTGAGCAG